TGCATTCATATGCATGTGGAGACCAGAAGACAACTTCAGGTCATGTCCACCTGCTTTTTGAGACAGGGTCTCTCACTGGCTTGGATCTCGTCAGGCAGGCTAGGCTGGCCGGCCACATGACCCCCAGACTCCTCTTGTCCCTACCTCTCCGGTGCTGGCATTACAAGAACACACAGCCATGCCTGGCTTATTATTATTATTATTATTATTATGAAACTTTATACATGTATGCAATGTATTCTGATCATTTACACACCTTGCTTCCCCTCTCCAACTCTAGCCTCCACAACCCCCTGCATGTCCTCATCTTGACTTTAGGTTATCTTTTTATTAATGCATATTAATGGTTCCCAAATACACACGGGCGTTGGCCCATCCACTGGAGTATGGGCAGCCTACCAGGGGCCACATCAATGAAGACCCAGAAGCCATCAACTGCCAGTAAATACTTCAGCTGGAGGTGGGGCCTCACGAGCCCCTCCCCGGTCCGTGCTGGACTATTGACTGACTTGATCTTGTGTGGGCAAGCTCGAGAGCGAACAGCCTCATTGTGCCCTGCAGAAGACACTGTTCTCTGCAGCCATTCCTGACTTCTGACTCTGACAGTCTTTCTGCCCCTCCTTCCTCACTGTTCCGTAAGCCTTGGGGGTAAGGGCTATGAGATGATGTCCCATTCGGGACTGAGCCTTCCACAATGACAATGTGGGTTCTAGGGCTCAACTCAGGTCCTCATTCTTGCACAGGAAGTATGTGACTGACTCTGCTGTCTCCTCACTCTGAGTACATGCATCTCTAAGTGTCCTCTACAGTCTGAACTCCTCCTGGGCATGGGTGTTTTGTTATTCTGAACTGTCTCTGTCTCCGTGATTTTGGCTCATGGGTGTTTTGTTATTCTGAACTGTCTCTGTCTCCGTGATTTTGGCTCATCGGCAGGTTGGTGATTTCTCATTGAGGTTCAAATTTGTGTTTCCTTGACAACTAACGGGTATCACTTTATGCATTTTCTGACTGGTCCCAGAACCATGAGTGTGATGTGTTTGCTCAAGTGCATGACCTGCCTTCTCCTGAAAGTGCAGGTCTTTGTTTACTTTAGAGCCGACCTTCGTGAGTTACACGTGCTGCAAATATTTCCTGCTACTGCTTGTTTTCCCCTTTTGACGTTTTTCTGGTATTTTTGAACAGACAGAAAGACAACTTTTTTTTTTTTTTTGGTCTTTCTCAGACAGGGTCTCCCTGTAGCCCCAGCTGGCCTGAAACTCACTCACTATGTAGACCAGGCTGGCCTTGAACTCACAGAGATCCGCCTGCCTCTGCCCCCCCCACCCCCAGTACTGGGATTAAAGGCGTGCGCCACCATGCCCGGCTTTGAAAGTCAACTTTTGTGTGGCCAAATGTATACAACTTTTCCTTTAAGGTTATTAGGTTTCGAATCTTGTTCAAAAATATTTTTTCACCCAAAGGTCGTGAAGACGTTCCCACACATCATCTTTTATATTGAGTGTGTGACATTCCCACTTGCATCGTCTGTCCAGAAGTTTTTTGTGTATAAGTTGAATTGGGGTTTCATTCCCCTCCTTGTAGATAGCTGCTGGCCCCGGGGCCGTTATCCTTCCTGTAATTCCATAGACCAGACACTTCTAAATCAAGTGTCCCCTACCCACTGTGCTTTTTCTGCCCATTCTTCTCTTTAATTGCATCAAAACCCATCTTGTCTTTGTTACAGGGGGTCATGGTGCACCTTACCTCTGGTCGAACAAGCTTTCTCCTGTTTCTATTACCTAGCAATAGCGTCTTGTGTTTTCTTGCTGTTCGTATCGCCATCAGGAACTAGAGTCTGGGGAGATACTTCAGATGGTAAAGTTCTTACTGTGCAGGCACAAGGAGTGGAGTTCAAGTCACAGAAATCATACAAAAAGAAAAAATCCCCACGAAAACCAAAAAACCGCTGGCTGTGGTAGTATACAATCGTAATCCTGGTATGGGGAGGTGAAGACAGGTGGGCACCGGGTCCCTCTGGCCACCAAGCCTAGAGGAATTGATGAGTTCTAGGCCATGAGAAACCATCTCAGAAAACAGGGTGGATAGCTCCCGAGGTTGACCACTGACCTCCCATCATACATGTGCATTTGCATACATGTACACACATGAACGAACACACACACACACACACACACACACACACACACACACACCAAACCTTAGAACTAGCCTGCCAAGCTCCACAGAGGTTTTCTGGGGACTTTGATCACAGTCTCTTCCGTGGGGTCCACAGTTGTGGGAACACGGACATCTGTGTAAAATGGGGCCTCCAATCAATGCAAATGTGCCATCTCTATTTCTAAAGCTTTTTTGACATTCTCTAGAGTGCTTTATAGTTTCCTGAAGAAAGACCTTTTGTGTTTGGTTAGATTAATTCCTTCTTCTTTTCAGACGGTGTTGTAAAATTTTATTCCTTTGGCTTTACTCATTGAGGCAGAATTTGCATACAGTAAATTACACAGAGTGTAAACTCCAGATTAATGAGATTTGGCATCCGCATACACTCAAGTAATAAAAGTCTCAATCAAGACATTTCCCCAGTGCTGTTTCTAGGCAATTGTCCTGTCCCTCTTGCTGAGGCAACTGCTCCGTGGGTTTCATGTCACTGTAGATGAGACCTGCTGCCCTAGAGCTCTGCACACGCAGACCGGCACACCGCCTGCCCTTTGCTGTCTGGTTGCTTCCTGAACCTCATATCTGCTGTTTCCTGTATCTGAAGTCATTCCTTTTTATTGCAGAACGAAAGGCATTGCATCATATGAACATACTGTAATTTGCTTTTTAATTCACCTGTTGCTGGTTGTTTGGGTGGCTTTTAGCTTTTAGCGATCATGAACAACACTGCTATAAACATCTCGGGAAAAGGCTTCATGTGGCTGGCCCGCCTTCATTTCCTTGGGTAAATATCTGGAAATGGAATTTCTGGCTCATAGGATGGAGTTTGGCTCAGCTTTATAAGGAAATGTAAAAGAGTTTTGAAAGTGGGGAGCACTCCTTGGAAGCCCCCCGACACGCTCACATCAGGGGTGATGTGTGGTGTGGAATCTTGGCTCCAGTGTGGGTACAGTGGTACTGCTGCTCATGTGGACTCTTCTGGTCTTTAATGACGCTCAGCCTCCTCTCATACGCATACTGTCCACTAGCAGACAGTCTGCTGTTTTCTTTTGTGATGGGTCTGGTCAAGTCTTTCGTCCATGCTGAAAGCTACTTTATTAAGGCTTGTTGTGCCTACAATAACACAGTCATGTTGTGTCCCATTTGGTGACTTTTGATGGTGAACATAGTGACCAGCACCACAGTCACAACTAGAACATTCCCTGTACTCCAACTTGCCACTACCTCACCTCCAGCCCCAAGCTCTTTGTCTCTAGAGAACTTTGCTTGTTCTAGAATTGTTCATCAATGAAATGGTACAGTCAGTGTCCTCATGTGTCTGAACTCCTTTGTTTGATGTGATGACGATAGGTTCCACTGTGCTGTTGTGTGTTTATTTGATCTTGTAGTGAGGAAGTTTCCAATGCCAAGGATGGTTCATATGCTGTGCTGGATGCTTTAGTGTCAACTTGACACACCTTAGGTGGAAGGAGCCTCAAGTGGGGAATTGCCTCCATAGGACTGGCCTGTGGCCGTGTCTGAGGGGCATCTTCTTGATGAGTGATGTGGGAGGGCCCAGCCCACTGTGGGTGGTGCCACCCCTGGGCAGGTGGGCCTGTGTTGTATAAGAAAGCAGGCTGAGCAGGGGCCAGGGGAGCAAGCCAGTAAGCAGTGTTCCTCCATGGCCTGTGCTCCAGCTCCTGCCTCCAGGTTCCTGCTCTGAGTTCCTACCTCAGGCTCCCTGATGAACTGTGACCTGGGAGATGTAAGACGAATAAACCCTTTCCTCCCCAAGCTGGTAGTGGTCAGAGTGTTTTGTTACAGCAATGGAGAACAAACTGGAACATATGCTGAGCTTTGTTCACCCATTCACCCACTGATGGTCACTTGAAAGATCCTCTGTATTGGTTATTATGAATATTGATGTTGTGTACATTTGTGGGATGTGATGGTTTAACGGAGAACTGTCCCCTATAGGCTTGTGTATTTGAACACTTGGTTCTTGGTTGATGGTGGTTGGTGGCTGTGTTTGGAGAGGTTATGGGACTTTAAGTAGATGTAGCCTTGCTGGAGGAAACACATCATGGGGGTGGGCTCTCAGAGTATAGCCTAACCCTGCTTCCAGTTCACTATCTCTGCTTCCTGGGCAAATGTTGAGGTTGAGATGTGATCTCTCAGCTTCCTGTTTGGGTTGACTGTTGCCGTGCCTCCCTGCCATTATGGACTCTCTCTCTGGATTTGAACCCTGGTCTCCTGCAAGAACACCCAGTGCTGCTAACTGCTGAGCCATCATCTCTCTAGCCCCAGGTGGAAGGTGTTAAGTGTCAGGTGAGTCTGCTTGTTGAGACCTCTTTTACTATTCTATTGATAACTCTGAGAAGTCTTGGAATCCTACTTACAGCTGTGGTTCTTTTTTGCTTCTGTGCTGTCAGGTTTTGCTTCTTACATCTTGAAGTTCTCTTGCTGGGTATGTCCCACTGAACACTCCTGTGATGTCTTAATGGACTGTGCAATTCTGATTATGATTGGTCTCCTTGTGTCTCTGATAGTTGTCAGGGTTCTTAGGTTAGAGTTTGACAAACCATGTATTTCCCATCTTTTTAATTTTACTCTTTTATAAGTGTGTCTTTATAAAAGAGTACTGGAGCCAGGAGGTATCCTGAATGACAGTTACATTTACTACATTCGCTAATGGTTGGTTAAGCACTACTGTGATGGTTTGAATGAGAATATCCCCCATAGAGTCCATGTATTTGGACATTTTGTCCCCAGTTGGTGGCACTGTTTTGGGAGGTTTTAGGAGGTATGGACTTGCTGGAGGAAGTGTGTCACTGGGGTGGGTTTTGAGAGTTTTTAAATCTTAACAGATTTCCAGTTGCTCTCTGCTTCCTGTACCTGCTTGAAGATGTGAAGGCTTAGCTTCTGCTCCTGCTCTGGCCACCTCACCACGCCTCCCGGCAATGACGGACTCTAATCCCTCTGGAACCTGGAACTGTAAGCTCAGATAAGCTCTTCTTCCTATAAATTCCCCTGGTCACGGTGTTTTATCACAGTAACAGAAAATTCTAAAACAGCTATGTTTTTACTCCTGTTTTTATTGTTTTTTTTTTCATGCTTTATTTACGAGTGATTGTTTTGTGATTCTGTGTTCACTGCATATGGGCATTTTGAGTGCACAGGTTTTACAGGACAGGTTTTGATGGACCAATCTTTACCTTCATGTAGGATCACCCATTTTATTTGTCACACAGATCCTTATGACAGTGTACTCCACTGCTTCTCCATGGTCTGTGCGACGGATGGTTGATCCACACATATTACTTCTACCTGTATTATTGTGGTGGTTTGAATTAGTGTCCCCCATAGGCTCCAAGTATTTGGACACTTGATCCCCAGTTTGTAGTGATGTTTGAGAATGGTCAAGGAGCCTTTAGGATGTGTGGTCATGCTGGAGGAAGCCCATCACTGGGGTGGGCTTTGAGAGTGCTTAATCCTTGCAGGATTCCCAGTCTCTCTGCTTCCTGTGCCTGTTTGAAGATGTGACCGTTTGGCTTTCTGCTCTGGCCACCTCTGCTGCCATCCTCCCCCGCCACTGTGGACTTTTAGCCTTGGCACCGTAAGCTCAAACAAGCTTTTCCTTCTATAATTTGCCTTGGTCATGGTGTTTTATCACAGTAGCAGAAAAATGGCTAACACATACCTATATTATACATTTCCAAATCTGTGCTTTCCTTTAAACGATCAACTTTAAAAATAAATCTAACAGATTAGACTAAAAGGTCTTTATGTCAATTTCCACTGCTCTACATGTCTCAGTGTGGATCCATGTCTTTATCTGATGTTTTTACTTAGCCTGAAGAGTGTTTTATGATGTTTTAACGTGCATTGCCAGGGCAGCAAAGTCTCTCGGATTTCGTGTATCTGAGACAGCCCCTATTTAATGTGCATTTTGTAGGGTTTTCTGGTTTTTTTCTCTATCCTTGTGAGGTTTGCTATCAGAGCCCTGGCTAGTCTTCCATGGTGACTTGGGAAGTAATCCACCTTCCCTTTTTCTTTGGGGAACATTGAGTCTTTTTTTCAGTGAGTATCTATTGGAACTTGCTCCAGGACCTCTTTGGGCAGCTCTTAGTGGAAGGATGGGTATACTGCGTAAACACCACCTCCCTGCCTCCCTTTACTTTGAGGCTTCCTGGTGAAAGGTGTGATGTCAGGTGTGCCCCTGATCCCAAGGTCCTATGCAGCACCCTATGTATGAAGAGGCTATTTTAGGTATTGTGAGCGTGAGCAGTTTTCAGTTTTTTTTCTTTTGGGTTTTTTGAGACAGGGTCTCCCTGTAGCCCCAGCTGTTCCAGAACTCACTTTATAGACCATCTGACCTCAGACTCACAAAGATCTGCCTGCCTCTGCCTCCCAAGTGCTGGGATTAAAGGTGTGCACCACCAGGCTGGGCCCAGTTTTCAATTTTTATTATAAATAGTTTTTTAGTTTAAGGTAAGAAGGTGAATGAATTCCAGGCTGGAGAAGTAGCTCAGCAGTTAGGAGACACACCTGTAATGCCCATCACACCTGGGTTTGTCCTTCCTTTGGGGATCCCAGTGCTGTGAGGGCTCTTTCCTGCTCTTGCACCCTCCGTTTCCAGAGGTCTCATGCCTCCCAGCTCTGATGTCTAAATTCCAAGACCATTGGGTCTTTTGTCTTCATGTTGGCGCAGCTCACAGAGCAGAGCGTGCCTGTACCAGGGTCCCACGGATACTTATTGAATGAGGAAAGGTAAGATTTGGGATCCAAAGAAGTCTGGACAAGAGGAAGAGAAAAGTTCTAGAAATGACTTATAGGCAAGGAACCAGGAGACAGGTCAGAATGAGGGACCAGGTCAGGCAGGGCCCTTTTGCTGAAGCCCAGGAGGAAACAGGCAAGGATGGAAGCTCAATGGAGGACCAGCTTTGTGGGCATGGAACTACTGTGGGGTGGGCCAGATGCTTGAAGATGCAGAGGGTCAGGTCAGAATTCCAGGGCTTTGGAGTTGAGGTGTTGAAACCTGCCCTGTGCTTGGTGAGTCACTGCTGATTTATGACTGGGAAGCGCATCCCAAAAGCAATCCCAATGACCAAATAACTGTCCACTTTTACAGGTTCTAGCAGACAGCAAGAATCCACATGGTGAGGGACCACCCACACAGGCAGCACTCTACTTGAGGACCTAGGGTCTGAATAGGGCAGAGCAGTTTTGACTTCCTTTTTCAGACTAGGACCTCACATGATGAACTCAAACTCTCTATGTAGTCAAGGCTGGCCTTGAACTTCTGATCCCCCTGCCTCCACTTCCTTAGATTGGACTACAGGCGAGTGCCGCCACACCCAGCTTCCAACTTGACTTTTTTGAGCTTCTGTGCCTTCTTATTAAACTCCATTAATCAAAGAAATAGATATTCGTGACCATTTGTGATGTCAGAACTGAGTAGATTCTGTAGAAAGGCTATAGAGCCTTGGATGTCACTCTATCTCCGTGCTGCCCAACTGGGGACCATGTGTATCTCAGGTGCCCATGAAGACTGAACTGAGAGCTCTTAGCATGACTCCTGGCTCAGAGTAAGAACTGGTTTGTAGAGACATTACTGAAAACAAAGACCTCAGCCCCTCTTTCTGGAAGCTGACCAGGGCTCCGCTGAGAGCTGCTGGGAAGCCCAGCTTTCTACCGTCCTGCACAATTCCACTACAGTAACACAGAGACAGCAAAAGGGGCCTATTCTGCAGCCCAGCCGGAAACTCGGCGAAGGCATGGGAGGCTCTGGAGCAGGAGAGGCCATGGGGCCGAGATTCCCAAGTGTCTCCCCAACACCCATGGTGTGGTGCTGAGCTCTGTGTTTCTCCAGCGCTTTGGGGATCCCACCCCAGCAACTGATGTGCTTCCGTTTCCTCCCCTTCCGTCCTCTGTCCTTTTACCCCTTCCTCCTCCTTCCCTCCCTGCTCTTCTTTCCCTTCCTTTTGATGGACGCCGTCTCCAGGGAAACACTGAGTTAGGACAGTGCAGAGCCTTGGTATCCCCTTCCTCCTGAGTAAGACCACCTTCTTGAAGGGCACCCTGGTGGGGGCATTTAGATAATGTCTTGGCCAGGAGTGCCCCCACCTCAACCTTCAGCTTCAGGAAAGTATAGAGAACATAAAATATCCAGCTTTCCCTCCCAAACACAGGCAGACCCGCCCACACCCCCGACCCCAAACTTGGCCTCCAGAGTGTTGAGAAGGGAATGAAGATTTACTTACCTTGTAACAGAGCTGTTAAGGAATGAGAGAGAGAGAGAAAGAACACAGCTACATCTTAGGTTACATACAGAACATCTTATGTGCTGTACTGTGGAGGTCGGGGTGGGGGGACACTGCTCACTGGCTCGCTCCCCTGGCTGCTCAGCTACCTTTCTCATACAGCCCAGGCCACCTGCCCAGGGATGGCGCCACCCACGCTGCAACAAATGCCTCACAGACGTGCCCACAGGCCGTCTTAGGGAACTCTTGAGTTGAGGGTCCCTCTTCTTGGTCGTCTCTAGGTGTGTCAAGTTGGTAAAAACCAACCTGCACAGACGCCAGTTCTTTTTTTCTTTCAAAAGAGTTAGAGTCTTTTTACCAGAATGTCACCTCTGTCTTATAGAAATTACAATAGGAAAATGAGATTTCAAACAATCTCAAATAAACACTCTACCAACCTAATGGGAAAATATCTGCGCTATTTAGCTGATTGTAGTAGTTTGTCGTGATGGTTTAGAGATAAGTTGCATTTTTTTTAATGTATATTTTTCATTTTTTATGCATCTCATACAAAACATCTTAATCATCTTTATACCCCCTCCCCCATCTGTACGCCATCATAACCCCCCCCACTGGATTTCATGTATTCTGTCATATATATTAAGGCCTATACAGTCAAGTTAGTGTGCCCAGCATCTCTCAGTGCAAGTTCATCCAATGAGGTCTAGTTAGCCTATCTAGAGACTCTCTCTTACAGAAGATCAACTCTTCCTCGCCTGGCAGTAATCAGCTACCAATGGTTCTTCAGTAAGGTTGGGGCCTGCTGCCCATTTCCCAGTTCTATGCTGGGTTTTGTCTGCTTGAGTTTGCATGGGTCTTGTGTATGCTGACACCATTGCTGTACGTTCATATGAGCAGGGTCCCAGGAGCCTGTAAGATTCTGTTTCCATATGGTCCTGCACCTCCTCCCCTGGCTTTTACAATCGTTCTGCCCCCTCTTCCACAATGGTCCTAGAGCCTTGGGTGGGTGAAGTTTGATATAGGATCCTGTCCAAGGACCCACACTCTGCAGACTTTTATTCTCTACGCTTTGGCCATTTGTGGCCTTTTGTGATCACGACCCTCTGTTGCATAAGGGAGCTTTGCTGATGAGAGTTGAGAGATGCATTAGTGTTCTCTCTACCCCTTGTTCCACTGTGTTCCATGAGCCTTAGGTGCAGAGGTTCCATTGTTGATGTGACACTTAGGGCTGGGCATCTCACAGACACTTATTCTCTGTGTGTGACCAGTTGTGGAACTCGATACTAGACTCTGTTGCAAAAGAAGATTCTTTGATGAGTGGTGACTGGTATTCATTTGTCTAGGGATGTGACAGCCTTAGGAATTTCTCTACAATCTATGACCTCTTCAGCAATGTGTATTTGGTTATGTTTACAGTACCACACCTGAGTTTCTTCCCATTGAGTGGGCTTTAATTCCAATTAGGTGGCTGTTGATTAACCCCAAGATAAAAGTGCCACCACTGTACCAATATAGTTTTTTGTTCCAGTCATTGTGGTTATTAGGCTTTATAGCTGGGGTTGAACCATCGATCAGTGTTCTCCCTTAGCAGTTTGTATAATGTCCTCCAAAGCTATGAGAGCTAGCCTTCAGGGGGAGGCTTCCAGGTCAGTTCCAGCTCCACTGCTCCAAGTCCTGTGTCTGAAGTATGTCCTGTCTTTGGCAATAGGGTCTTACCTTCATGTTCTGGGAGGCAATCACGGGCTGTGGCAATTGCCTGTGTAATTTGGGAGTCTCTTGTACTACTCTAACCAACAACTTGAAGGGAGATTTCTCCTGTCTGGCACTGTGTTTCTTGATATACAGTTATATACACGCTATACACATGCACTCATGTACAGATATCGTATGTGTATTTTTTAAGAAGCTTTTGAACGAATACATTTCCCTCTGGTTTTTCACACCAGCTAAGTATTATTTATCTCTCTCCCCCCTCTCTGTCTAACCTTCTCTCCTCCTTCCCCAGTTAAAGTACCCCCATTTTTCCCATCTCACCCTTGATAATGCCTGACTCCTATGATCCCCTCACCCCCCACATCTCTCCTGAGCTCCTTATCCCCCTTTGCCCCCATGGTTCCTTGGATAACCCTCCCTCTTCCCCTCCCAGTTAGATACCCCTATTTTACCCATTTCCCCCTTGGTGACACCTGTCTCCTACTGTTCTTCTCTCTCAGGCTCCTTCTTTCCCTTTACCTGCCTGGTTCCTTTCCATTTTCCTGGCTCCTGCAGTTACATCAGGATACATACTCACATATAAGGCCTTGGTGCTAAGAGTCACAAAGAGGGAGAACATATGTAACTTGTTTTTCTGAGTCTGTGTAACTTCATTCAGTACAACAGTTTCTAGTTCCATCCATTTAGCTACAGATTTCATGATTTTTGTCTTTCTTTAATGCTGAGTAGAACTCTATGGTATAAATCTGTCATAGTTTCATCATCAACTTGTCAGTTGAGGGACACGTAGGTTGTTTCCATTTCTTAGCTATTGTGAAAAGAGCAGCAACAGACATTATCATTCAGGAGTGTGTTTGTTAATCTCCGTGCACCTGTGTAGTTACTAGAGTTTCTTTTGGTGTTGATTTTAAGCTTTTTTTGCATTGTGGGCTGATAGAAGGCATGGAATTATTTCATTCTTTTTTGTGTTTGTTGAGGTTTGTTTTGTGCCCCAGTATATGGTCAGTTTTAGAGAAGCTTCCATGGACTGCTGATAGAAAGTGTATTCTTTGGTGTTTGGGTGGAATATTTGGTAGATGTCCATTAGGTCCATTTGATGTGTGGTATCATTTGATTCAGATGTCTCTCTGTTTCTTTTTCCAGTTGACCTGTCTATTGGAGACAGTGGGGTGTTGAAGTCCCCTGCTATTACCTATTTGGGGTTAATCTGTGTCTTAAAGTCCTGTAGTATTATTTTTGTGAAATTGTGTGCACTAGAGTTTGGTGCATATATGTTCATGATTGTAATATCTTCTTGGTTAACTGTTCCTTTGATCAGAATGAAGTGACCCTCTTTATCTCTTTTGATTAGTTTTAGCTTGAAGTCTATTTTATCAGATATTAGAATTGCAATCCATGCTTGTTTCTTAGTGTCATTTGCTTAGAATATTTTTTCCATCCTTTCACCCTAAAGTAGTGCCTGTCCTTGAATGTGAGACGAGTTTCTTGCGGACGACAAAAAGATGGATTTTGTTTCTTAATTCATTCAACTAGCCTGTGTCTTTTGACTGGGAAGTTAAGACCCTTGATATTTAGTTATTATCGAAAGATGTGTATTAGTTACCATCATTTTGATTTCTGTTTACATTCTTGGTCTAATTTTATATCTCCACAATTCCACCTTCATTTAGGTTCTTTCTCTGCCTCTTGGGTGTAGATGTTCCTTTCTCCATTCCGTGTATTGCACGGAGCATTCTCTGAAGGGCTGGTTTGGCGAACATTGATTATTTCAGCCTATTTGTGTCGTGGAAGATTTTTCTTTCCTCTTAACTATAATAGACAGTTTTTCTGGGTAAAGGATTCTGGGTTGGCATCTATGGTCGTTTAGAACTGGGAATACTTTGGTCCAAGCTCTTCTTTCATAGTTTGCATTGAAAAGTCAGCTGTAATCCTGATGGGTTTTCCTTTATATGTGACTTGTTTCCTTTTGCAGCTTTCAGTGTTCGCTCTCTGTTCTGTACGTTTAGTGTGTTTACTATCGTATGTGTGAGGAGTTTCTTTTCTTGTCCTATTTGCTGTTCTATGTTCTTCTTTATTTCTATAGGGATGTCTTACCTTAATTTGTGGAAAATTCCTTCTATAATCCTGTTGCAGAGCTGGTCAATAACATTTATCTGGGCTTCATCTCCTTCCTCTATGCATATGAAATCTGGACTTTTCATGCTGTCAAACATTTCCTGCATATTCTGTTCCTGATTTTTTAAAATAATTCATATTCTTTGTTTGAATGCTCCAGTTCGTCAACCTTATCATACAGTCTTGGTACTCTGCTTTCCATTTTGTTCATCCTACTGGTGAGGCTTTCTCCTGTCATTTCAAATTGACTTAATGAGTGTTTCACTTCCTTCTTCGTTTCAGCCTGAGTTTTCTTCAGAGTTTCTCTCTCTTCTGTGAAGTCGGTCAGAAGTTTATCCCTATGCTCTTTGAGTTCTTTGAGTTGTTTGTGCATTCTTTAAATTCATTGAATTATCTGATTATGTTTATGATCATTCTTTTAAATTCTGTTTCTTGGGTTAGCTCTAGGGGGTTCTCCTTGTAGAACTCTTCAGTAGGATTGGTGGTGATTTGTGGGGTCGTATTATTTTGTTTTTTCACACTATTATTTTTTTCATTGTGACTTTGGCATATGGATTTCTTTAGTTGCTTGTGATTCTGATATGAAACTCAAACCTTCCTTTGTTGAGTTGGAGTTTGATTCTGTTATTGATGTACCTTGGTTGTTTTCTGATTGGGTATGAAAAATTGGTTAGTCTAGGCTTCAGGCTCTCCCTTTTGATTCTATATTGGAGGGTCAAGATGGCTTCAGTCAGGCTACTCAGGAGCTCTCCAGGAGGATGAAGTGGCCCAGGCTATGTAGGAGCACTCCAGTTGACTCAGATGGATAGTGCCAATGTCCAAGGAAAGGAGATGGGAAATAGACATGCTAGTCCCTACTAGTCAGCAGGGAAGCTAAGCCCTGGAGCAGTGGGAGGGGGCTGCAGATGGGCATGGCATGATTTAGGCAGCTCACCCAGGAGACTGAGCCAGGCACGCTCAGGCATTCACAAGAGGTCTGTGCACAGGAAGAGGTTATGGGAGAAGGCAGTGGAGGGGAGCCTGGCCCTGGAGCAGTGGGAAGGCCAGTTCTTATGGCTAGAGGTTGAGCTGAGGCTGCTGGGAGTCCTCAGGTGTGTGTGTATGTTTGCACATGACATGCGTGTGTGCGTGCATGCATGTGTGTGTATGTGTTAGATGCTTTTGATAAGAAGGAATCAGACTGGAGCTCTGAGAACAGAAACTGCAGGGTGGGGCTGGAGCTCTGTTGGTCTAGTGCTTGCCTTGCATGCCAGAAGGCCTGGGTTGAGTCCCCAGCGGGCATAAACCTGGCAGTGACAGCCTGTAATCCCACCACCTAGGAGGTGGAGGCAGCAAGATTAGTTCTAGGCCATTTTTGGCTACAAAGTGAGTTTGATCCTGTCTCAAGCAAAACTAAACAAACCAAAGAAAAACCAAAGCAAATGAGCAACAAGGAGACAGCAGCTGTCCCTTGCCTGTGTGCCCTTCGGCCACCACAACTGGCCACCACACCAGTGCTGGTTCTGCCTCACACCCTCCTGTAGCTGGGATCCTGGCTTCCTGCAGCTCGGTCCTCCCTCTCTCCTTCCCGCCTTCCTGTTATTCCTCCTTGCCCTGTTATAGGCAGATCTGATTCCCAGGGCACCCACTGATGTTTCCAGGGCCTTGTGTCCCAGGACAAAGACTTGTGCCGGGGAAACATGGTTGGAATAGCTATAGACAGTTTCTTGAGAATGGGAGTGGGCCAGTGGGTTGGGGAAGCACGGGCTCAGAAGCACTGGGCCAAGAGCTCTTTACAGGTTTTCTACAAAGCACTGGCCTCCGCCATGCTTGAAGTCTACCGGCTTTCCTCATATGAGCGCTGTTTGTTGCTTGTAGCCCAGGTGGGGAAGGGCTTCCAAGGTCTCTGCCTACTGGCTCCTCTCCTGTTGATCCTGATGCTTCTGTCTCCAGCCCCTGCCCTCCTGCCACACCCTCAGGCACCAGATGATGCACAGAGCTCTAACACCAGCCTCTTCGAGAATGGCTTGTTCGTGAGCTCTGTGTGAGCTCTGTGTGGCTTTGCGTGGGTTGGGGGAGGGAGCCCTCAGTGTCCACAGCTGTGTCCACCCCCTGGATTTCCTGTAGTGTTGTAGTGTTTGTGAAGACCCTGGGCCACTGATGAGCAGAACTTTGTTACTTAACCTCCCAGGAAGCTAAATAAACCCCAGCTTGATTTACTTAGTTGGTTAATCTATGCTAAAGTCCTCAGAAGTGATTTATTGATTTGCTTAAAGGGAGATCCCTGGGGAAGAGACCATCAGCTCTCCAAGCAGCCCCTCATTCAGCCTGATAATGAAGGTGCTTTCACTGTGAATTTGAAGGTAAGAATTTCATCCTGAAGGGAAACTTCCTTGTTGAGGAGGGAAAATTGCTAGATGATTTGGATTTGCCAACAGCAGATGTCTGACCAACCAGAGTCTTTGTTTCTACCCGGGGTCCAGGCCCAGAGGCTTGCAGGTGGCAGTCAGGGCAGGGCAGGGCAGGGCAGGGCAGGGATGCTGGGCAATGCCCAGGGCTTCAGGCAGCTCAGTCCAAGGCTTCTCATCCCTAGCTGAGGACAGCACAGGACAACCGAGGGAAGCTTGGGACTGCCTGGGAGCTGGGGTTGGGTATGAGGGGCTGCTTCTGAAGGGAGGGACACTTGTCTAGTCCTGAAATGCGTATAGATGGTACCCAGGGTGGAGTTCTCCAGAGAGATAGAACCAGCAAGATGTATATAAGTGCATACAGGAATATGACCTTGGACACCTGCACATACACACATACATGTATGCACTCACAAATACATAATACATACATGCACTCACACACATAATACATACATGCACTCACAAATACATAATACATACATGCACTCACACATACATAATACATAGATGCACTCAAATACATAATACATA